TAGGCCAGCTATAGAAATCTTTGACCTATTTGAGGAGTTGGAAGTATTGTATAAGTCATGAAATTAGTGGGCAAAATGATACAAATCCATAGAAATCCAGACTTCATTAATTTTGCTCCTCTCCAAACTGCTTGTTTTTGAAACAGAGGTTGCCATATGTTTCCCTTTTTCAAATTTGTCATCCTTCTTGTGAGCTATGACATAGCTATAGATTTTTCTGACACTGAAATGTATTAAGATGTTGGACTTTGGACTTCCATAGGTCTGGAAATGTGAAAGAAAAAAAAGTCAACATTGTAAGACTGGCCAGAGATCCATGGGCAAGAATTTTGCATGGAATAGCTTGAGAACCTTCTGAACACATCTACTTAAAATAATGGTATTGGGCATAGTACATGGTGACTAATTTACATGGTGGCTAAGCATTTCCTTTTTAAATGCTGTTTTTCAGTTTTTATCTGACATAGTTCTTTCTAACTGAATTATGTCTGAGTCGAAAACTGTACAGGTTCCAAAGAAGTATAGACTTGTTTCCTAGCTTGGCCAGTCACACCACAAACCATCACATCAAAGATCAAATGGAGAGAGAGACAATTCATCTTTGCAGAGCTGAAGAATTTGCACTTTGGCATTGACATAAGAACCCTTTTTTCTCCCATTAATTTCCATTCAGACAGTATAAATGATAGCCTTTTTTGCCCACCCCTCATCTTCCATTTCCTCAGCTTTCTTACCTAGAAGAAAAGTGGAAGACTACTGAAAAAAAAGTTAATTTTTTTCTGTTGTTTTTTTTTTAAATTCTGTTCATGCAAGAATTCAGGAAATATATGTACAATATCTAAGAAGAAAGAAATGCAACAAAGTAACTCATAAGCTGGAAGGGAAAATCTATGGAGAATTCTGATTTTCATATTAGGTATTTTAGCAAGAGTTTCTAAGATATTTAACAAATTATTTATTCTTGAATCAGAATCAGCAACTTCTATTATAATTCTTTTATTTTTATATAGCATAGTACTTATTTGTGTGTATGTATCTTTGTGGGCAGCTTTCATCAGCTGAACTGTATGATACTTTTTTTTTGCAGCTCGGAGTTCTGTAGTACTCTCTTGAGAAATTAATCATAGCTACTTAGCTTTATCTTCATTTGCTTTTAAATAGTCTATTTTCATAGTGAAGCACTAGACATCTGATTACTTGATATTCACTGAAAAATACATGTGCTTGAATGTAAAATTACCCCATTGCCTGGATTGCCTGGAAGTGTGTAGTTTTCTGTAGGTCAAAAGAGATGGAAGAGATATCAGGCATGATTATGTTCCTTAAGTGATTAGAGGGACAAGCTGGTACTTGGAGTACCTAGAGATACTTCCCAGTGGTACCTTGGTGTTCCTTGTGTTAATTTTTGACTCATACTTAGATCACCTTCTCTAGACATTGAATTTATTTATTGATAAAGCAGAAACTTCACTACAGTATATATTTTAGGGGATCAGTCTGAAGGGATGCAGATGGCCCAGGAGATGGACTGGCCTCTGTCTGCACTCTAACTATACAGAGAGATAGAAACTTCTGCTGTATCACTCAGTGTTTTCATATGGTGAATTGAGTGGGACCTTACTAGGGTTTATCTATATTGCAGGATTTTTTGTTGCTTGTTTTTTTGTCATTGTTGTTGGTTGGTTTTGTTTTTGTTTTGGTTGTCTTTTTGTTTTTTTGGTTTGGTTTTTTTTGTTTATATTTGTCATACAATGTCTGTTTATAAAGGATATGAACTAGGTTTATGCAACACTGTATTTGATGTCACCCTGGTCTTTTTGTGCTGTTGAGTTACCATCATTATTTACACCCTTTTCCACAGCTCAGTCTTGTCCTCCTGGGCCAAAGCCCTAGCTATGTTGTGTAGTCTATTCAGTTGTCCCCGAATTCCCTTACAGAGGTTCTCAGTTACAGTTTTAGCTGCACAGTTGTCGGAACTATCACAGGAAGATGCAGAATTTCTTACCAGAAGATCCACCACATCTTTTCTTATTATCTAACATACATCTTGGGCAGGGGAGAAGCAGGGATGGAGGGGATGGGGGGGGAAGAAAAAGGAAAAAAGACTGCAGAGTCCTAGCCTAGAGAACAGAAGATTGGTCTGACTCAGAATTTCATTCCAAGTGCTTTGGTGCAGGTAGGATTCACAGCATGGGGCTTTCTCAGAGCAGGTGCCTGAACAAAAGAAACTTTTTTATGGTTGCATACTACTTAGTGTACTTGCTTAAGAAGTGAGAAGCTCAGTTAATAGTTTTGGGCTGAACCTGTCCAATTTGAGAGACTCTATGTGACTTTAGAACAAACTTGTTTTTCAATGACGGTGAAGAAGATACTCATGATTTACTCCTCTATCTACCCATTACAGTATTTTTTTATTTTAACTGAGTAAATTCCTGAAGTTTTGCTTTAAATACTCTATAACTTTATGAAGCTGGACAATACATTTAGTAAGTTTGTGTGCCGTCTTTCAACAGCAACATCTACCTAGAGATTATCACAGCACACTGTTGCTTTCAGTTCATTTTAGTGATCATTTTGTTACTAAACGTTCCCACTGATATCTGAGCATTTTGTATGCCCAACAGTCTTCATACATTATAATTTTGTTTTAAAAACCTGAAATGATTGCCAGTTGGGACACCCTACCCCTGCACTGCTATTTGTCACATAAGATCTTTTTTCACTAATCCGTGTCTGCTGAGAGTGCTATGGTATTGCTGACATCACAGCAGAATCAAACAATTGTGATTTACAAAGAGATATAAAAGTATTTTAATTTCAAATGATTTACTGTACACCATATTCTCGTATGTTTTTCATGGGATTAATTATTGGCTGTTGTGAAATGTTTCATTTAAAATATTTCTTTTGCCTCTGCTTCATAGAGGTTCTTTGGAGAAAGTGAAATGTGTACATTTTCCTTATTATATTGACATTTATGTATTTTAGAAAAATTGACAAAATCACTCAGATGTTGCTTTTAGAAACATTATAGTGCCATGATCTTAAAGTTTTAGGGAAAGAAAGAAAAGTTCTATCCAATTGGAAACATTGATCATTTTTCTGTCAAAGATGGATAGTTCCCTTTTTTAGCTTTGTGGAACCATGAGAGGTGACATATCAGACAAGTCAATAAAAGTATATTTTTAAATCTTTCATTTTAAAGTGTCCATTTATAAAAGAAGCATTAAAATACCCGTGTATTTTTTGTGAATAACAGGTATTCCACAAGAACATGAATTTTGATTGATGGGACAATTTATCTTTTTTCTTTGAACCACTGTAGCATACTGCTGGACTTTTTTCTGATCTTTGGCTCTTTCACTACTAGCTATTCACAAAAGATTGCCATAGGTACACCAAAACCTACGGCGGATTAGTTGGAGGGGGAGACCTTCAGGCCCTGGGTGCCAGCCCATTACCTGGAGGTGAATGCTCTTCCCCCCTGCCCCCACCACGTGGCCCGGTGACCCCTTAAGGAGCTCACACAGACCACCAGGGAGGGACGGACGAAAGAGGAAGTTTATTGTGGGGATAGGGGTTTATAAGGCTTTTAGGAGGGTCAAAAGGGGACCAATTACAGGTTCAGGGTCTTACAGAAAAACCAATCAGGTAAAGAGTTAACAGCCAATAGGAAGGGGTTAACAAAGGCCAATGAGAACACCTCAGGACATCTTCCCAGGACACTCCTGCATGGGAGATAGGAGTCCTTCACAGAGGGTGTTGGGAAGAAGGAGCAGTGACTTTGCAGAAATACAAAAAGCCATTTTGAAACCACAGTTTCTCATATAGTGCAGATCTCTTGCCACAAAAACCAGCCAATGAATGATCACTAGGGAAATCTGTCCTAAGCCTCATGGTTAAAACTGTGGATAATTAGTGAAATTTTGGCTTCCTTTCTTCCATCTTCCCTCCCAGACTATGATTACTGTGACATCATGTAGTCCTTGTAATCCAGGTTGTATGATACACTAGGGCCTTAGAGATAGAGTCCTGCTCTGACCAGAGTGCAACTGTATCTCACCTTCAATTTAATATTATCTTTTTTTTTAATCTTTATTATTGAATTAGGAATTGTTTCATTACTCTTTCATATTTCTTTTGCTCTGAGTGAGCTAGAATGGATAAATGCGTCTGTTTTATTTGCAGCAATAAGCTGGGTATGGTTAAAAGTATTAGCATCACCACACAGTGTTGTGTCCTTTTCAAAGGTGAAGCACAGCAAAGGTCTGGATTTTTTAAGCAAACTAATTTCTCATGTTTGTGAGTTGTTGTGTACAGAGGGCATCTAATGCTGTAAGTTTGAGCCTAAATCTTAAATCTTTAAGTTCTGTGTTTTAAGCAAATGCAGTTTTTTTGGTAGAAGGAAAAAGTATATTCTAGTAGGCAGATGTCAGATCTCGCTACCTAAACATAGCTTATAATATTTGTAGCTGACTAACAGGTAGTAGTGGATCAGGCTGGGGTAAAATGCAGGTCAGGCTGTTCATGTGTGTAGGTGAAACTTTTTCACCTCTTGACCACATGGCACTGCAAAAGAAAATGTCTTGCCAAAAGAGCGTGGCAATAGTATGGCTTCCGAAATTGTTACTGGGAGTCGTAGCTATTGTTTTACATCGGTAGATCATGATCCCACCTAATTAATACTCCACAGTGGATGTCTAACATGAGCTGAATTTCTTTTTTCAGGAAATGTGTACCTCATTTAGTAGACAAACATGTCTCTAATTTTCATTCTTATTTAATGCTAAATTATAACAGTATGCAACCTAAATATGATTCTGTTATTGCTTGGGATTTTGCCACTAATTGTGAAGGCTTTTTGAAAGGTTAACCTTTGCTAGAAATCAAACAAAAGCAAAATACATTACTGCAGTAATCTTTCATTGCAGCCTAGAATTAATTTCTGTTAATTTATTTATATAAATTTCCTAACCCCTTTTTTTTTTTTAATTCCCTAGATATTGGCAAATGTAATAATTTTTATCTGCGGAAACTTGGCAGGAGCGTACCACAAACACCTCATGGAACTTGCGCTGCAGCAGACGTATCAGGACACATGCAACTGCATCAAATCCCGTATCAAGTTAGAATTTGAAAAGAGGCAACAGGTAAAGTCACACCCATGTCTGTGTCTCCTCTTCTGTTTTCACACTATCCCCCTATTCATCGCTATATAATCCAGCTTGTTAATGGAAAATCACTTAATGAGTTACTTAAACTTAATGAAATATACAAAGTCTTTTGAGCATGGTTGTGCACAATTTCCATCTGAATACGGAAGGTATTTTAGTTATTTATGTTGTTAAATTATGTTTTCTCTCATTCGTTTTATGTGAATATTTTATCATAAAGAAAGTTAAAAATGCTGTATAGATTATGTTGGCACACTATCTCTTTTGTTGTCCTCATTGAATGAGCTGAGATGTACATATGTGCTTTTGGAAATCTTCAGTGCTTCCTGCCCAAGACCAATGCTGCAAATCACTGCAAGAAGATATTACTGCACTGGTTTTGAAAAATATTTGAAACCACAATACTGATGATTCATGTGATATAGTTTTGGGGGTCAGGTTTGTTAAGAGGAGCTAGGGGAATTGCATAATGAGACATACCTGTCATTTATTGTAGCAGTTGAATAAAAGACTTCTCTGAGTGCTTTATATAGTTCTTTTTCTCCTTGCCAGCTCTGTACAGTGCCTATCATCCTGACAGATAAGTACTTCGTTTAAGAGAATTTGAAATACAAATGATTTCATCAAGTAGTAAAGAAGATGGATGCATTTTGCTCTGAAGGTCACCAAGACTCAAAATCTGTGAGTCTCTGGGTCAGAGAATAGAGTCGTCACTGACGCGTTGCTGTTGTCACAAAAAGTGCTGATATTCACGTCGTATGTCCCAGCTGACCCTAACTGTCGTGTCTATCTCACAAATACCTGTAGCCATTTTAAATTAAAGTTTTCAAGATCCATCACCAACACTGTTTTCTCAGAAAAAGCAAATGAAAAGCCCCAACCAGAACTTCAAAAGGTTGCATGTTTAGAGGGCTATCCTTATTGTGCTGGGCACTTGGACTGCATACTGGCTGAAGTTGCTACAACTCCTTAAGGAGAAAGTTTTATGGTAAAAGCAAGTTCTGATGATTAGATGCAAAATCTGCATAAGGTACTGTTGCAGGAGAGGTTTGTCAGAGCAGTCATTTGTGTTTCTACCTCTGCCTTCACGAGCTGTGTGCAGTGAATCCTTAGGCTTTGTAACTGATAGTACACAATGCATATTTTACTATCTGTTGATAATATGCAAAAGTATCTTCAAATTTGTTCCAGTGAAACAGCTTGTGAGTGCAGAGCAGCCAATGCCGGGTATCTGGGAGAAATACTGCTCCAGACTGGGCAGTCCCCAGTGATGTGGGTCCTGGTTTGATGGTTTCTAGGCTCATGGTGACATTTTAGACAATGGTTAGCACTTCTCCCTGTGCTTAGGCCTTGTGCTTAAGCCTTTACTGCCAGAAGCATGTATGCAGACTGTAATCAAACAGCGTAATTCCTAGCAGGCATCAAGGCCTCCCTTATTCAGGAGAGACCTGAATTCTTAGCTTCCTGAGCACAGTTGTAAGGGCCCAGGTTTCTACTATTGGTTGCATTTTCCTTCAAGCATAGGAAATGCATTGGTGTATCTGCAAGAGGCAGGAGGGCTGTGTTACTCGACATCAAATTCAAAGGAGTAAGGATGCTGCTTGTAAGAAGACAGTCTGCTTGTAAGAAGACAGTAGTTACAGCAGACGTAGTGCTAGCTGATATTTTCTGCAAATGTATATTATTTGCTAAACACTACGAATTTCTTTGGAAAGACATAAATAAGTAGCTTTGGTTTACTTTCACTTCTGAAGGTGTTGCAGAAAGTATTGAGAACCTGACAATGAAAAGAAGCAAAATGCTCTGGAACTCTGTGACAGATGCTTCCTTTTTGGTGTTTGTAGTTGTGTTTCAAAAGTGTTGTAGCCTAGCAAGATGGAAAGCAGCAAAAACCATCTTTTACTGATAAACTGTGTCATTCTTATAGAATAATGAAGGAAATTGTACATAATTTGTTATATATTTTATATATATATGTATATATGTGTGTGTTGTCATATTTGTGTTTCGGTAGGAATAAAAATATCAAATTAGTTAAGACATCTATACAGCTCTAAGTAGTGTATTGCAGGTCTGTGCCAATAACAGATGGATCAATATCTTAGTAAAGAGAAGTGTTCTGTGGATGTCAGTGATCTTTTTGACCTCTAATAAGCTCAAAAAGAAATAATTAGATCTTCAGATCTTCTTGTATAGATTTCTTTAACCTTTATGCCCTCAGCCCCTTAGTATGCCCTCTATCTCATGTCAAGGTTTTTCCAACCAAAAAGACAAGATGTGTACCTCTGTATATCACATTTAGGGTTTTTACATATTTGAATGTGAAAAGGTAAATTAGAATTCATTTGATAAGGATTTTTTTCCCCCAGGCTTAACATGCTTCTTTGTTTGCAAACAGTAGTTCAGAAGTGGATGTACTTTAGTCTGTCTTTTAGCGTGGCTTGTTTTGCCAAGAAGATACAGAAGAGAATCCACATTGTTAATATTCAGAAAGCAAGTCAATCATATTGGTGACTATTTTTAGAGAACTGGGATACATTGAAACAGTAGGAGCAGAGTGCATTTTAAAAAGCATTGGTTTTGATCAAAGCCTTTATTAGCCTGTAAAAGGTTGTAGCATGGCCCTTGATTCTACATCTCTGTAACAGGAAAAAAATTTAATTTAATTTACTTTACATAAGCTACTTTTGTACAAGTGCAGAGTGTAGGATGTGCTTCTAAATGGTTAGGCCTCCAGGTCAAATTTGCACATTTTTCCAGATCAGGGACATCATGTCTTTTATAATTGTTTTTGAAAGATGTGCAATTTATGTTTAAATTATTCCATGAATTTCCTCTTATTTTGTTTGAGAGTAGGCTCATAAAAAATGTAGGTTGTTAGAGGGGTTTTTTTGTGTGTCTTTGAATAGTCTTTTTGAGAACACCATTTTGATAGATCAATAGATAAGTATATTGAATTACCACTCAACAGTTATGCCAAAGAACTCAAGAGAAACACCAATTTCATTGTTTTGAATTAAGGCTAATGTATATTAGAATCTGGTGAAATAGGGGTGTGTGTATATATACTGAAGTACAAGTTGGACATATTGTACCCATACCACTGTGTATTTCTTCTGTTAGGGCACAACAAAGGCTGGCTGCTCCGAAAGGGATGGGAAGCTATGGGTAGTGACACCTCCCTGCAGGGCAAGAGGCCATTTTTAACTCCTGTAATAAAAAGCAGTATTTTCAATGCACACTTTGGTGTTTCTCGCACAGCTTTTATGTCTTTTCAGTGTTTATAAAAGAGAAACAGGGAACTATTCTGACCTCTTTTTAGTTTGCAGCCTTATTTCAACATATATATTTAAAACAGCCTTTCCTAGTGTTATTTGTCTCAGTGATACAGTCTGGCTGACAGTTTGTAGGGGTAATGACTCACACTGAGTGCAAGATCTTAAACGCTGACAAGCAGTTAGCATAATTGCTCTTCTCTTTTATGATGCTTTGCATCAGGAGACAGGAACGTACACTGGGAGATTCTTACAAGATCACAGGGAGGTGTTTGTAAGGTGTTGGTGTTCAGTGGGTTCTCTGAAATGCTGTCTTTGAGAAGGAGGCAGTATAATGACAGTTTTAGAAACAACACTCAGGTAGCAGATGAAAATGAATGAGGTTTCAAATCATTGAGTGGGATTTTAATTTTTTCACTGAAATGAGGTGAAGCAATACCATTCATTAAAGGAACTATTTCAAAATTTTTTAAAATTAATCTAAAACAGAGAAACCTTACACATTTATGAGGCATGAGGCTATTAGTAAAGAACAGAAACACTGAAGTACATTATTTGGAATTATTATATAAAATGTGGATTCCTGTAAGTTCAATTAATGCATTTTAAAAGGCAAACTATTAATATTTTCATGAACACATAATAGTTTTTCTAAGCTTCCTCATTTTCCTTTTTTTCTCATGACTTCAACGCTAATAAACAGGAGAAACAAAAACTAGCTTTGGTCTTTTAAATTTTAGAATTGATTTTCTACTTCAGTAGTGTGTGTACACATAGACATGGGTCAGATGGCAATCCTTTCTGTTAATCTACATGTCATTACTAGAATTAAAGCCTGTTCTGAGCAAGTGCAAGTTTTTCATGGTAGACCATGGGAAAGATGGATAGACTATGTGAACAGAAACTGGAGAGAGTCCACTGAAGGGGTGCAGGGGTAATTGAGGGACTAGTGCTCATGACAGATGATGAGACTTAGGGAACGCAGGTGCAGAGGAATAGGCTTGGAGGGGAAAACTAACATCTACCTACTATCTGAAGGAGCTTACACAAAAGGTGCAGTTAGATTTTTCTCAAAGGCACCCAGTGAAAGTATGAGAGGCAATAGTCATGAGCTGTGACAGGATAAATCCTGGCTGGAAGTGGGTAAAAGATTCTTCCCCAAGAGAAGGGTTAAGCACTGGAAAAGGCTACTTGGAGAGATGCTGGAATCTGTGTTCAGGGAGATTGTGAAGTTTCAACTGGACCAGTTGTTAGGCTTCAACTCTTCTTCAGCACTATAAATATAGAGCTCAGAATCTCTTGTTAGGCTAATTAAAGTCTTAACAATCTAACAAAAATACAAAAAACAATTATTGGTAATACTTCATTTACAATAATAATAACAACAATCACAGTCCACATTATCTAATTAACACCAAAAAAGCATAAATACAGCTAAAACTGTTATGCAGAAAATATTCATTTTATTCTGTTGCTGTCCTCACTCTTCTGTAACCACGTAGCCCTGCAGTACAGGACTGCCATTGCCATGTGCTTTGTGCTGAGTTTGCAAGGCCTCAGGGTTAAGGCTGTCTAAATTTTTTTTGACCTTCCTGGAGCTTTTATTTTTTACTTGATTTTGCTATAACAGCAATTTTTCTGACAAGGTGGCTATTGCTAATTAATTTTACTTTTCTTATGGCACAGTACCGCCATAGATAT